ATCCACTTGAGTTTATTAATTAGTTAAGCACGCTTAGGGCTCGATTATGCGTGATTACTCTAGATTAAGGCGATTAGAAGAAAATTAAGCACCCTAGCCGTGCCATTAGCAATGTTTAAGGACATATGATAGTAGAATGATTACTTAGGCTTAAAATGAACATAATTGAGGTACTTAAGGAACCATTAAGTACGATTATGCGTATGATTATGCACGATTAGCGCAAGATTAACACATTTATCGCTCGATTAAATATGATTTAATTCGATAATATTTTTATCGGGCGATTGAACATAAATTGACTTATACTTTGGATTCCGAGAATAATATGAACATTACGAAGCTAAGTACGTAATTTACATTAGGTAAAAATGGGCTATTACATCCAACATTCCTACGACAGTTCGATAGATGTTGATTTATCATCATAACTTTTAACAATATACATTATGAATATTTTATTTATTCTTTTTAAATTAATAATTTCATAGATAGTCAGCAGATGATCCGTCGGTTTGTCATCATAATTTACAAATATTTTACATTTCTATGTAATCTTATAATTTACATGATAGTACGATATATGACTTATTGGTTTATCATATTTTATAGCAATGCAGATTATAAATCACTTTCTTCATACTTTTATATCAAATCAATTTTAATTATTATATTTTAAATATTATTTTAATGCAAACTTAAAATCCTACACAAACCTAACCCAACATATTTTTTCAATATTTACTATGATTAACCAAAAAACCTATCAAAATCAAATCAAATTCATATCCAATCACACCTTTAAGTACCAAGAGCTCAGACGTTGTTTAATTAAGTGATATTCCCCCTATATATTAATTCAAAACGTGGTGAGCCTAAGTGGAAGACTCGCATGCTTCGCGATCCTATTTGACAAAATTACATGCTTTGTTATTAGGCTTCGATAGATTTTAATTTACTTTCAATCCAAAAATAATTAGGTTCGAATTAGCCATAAATAGGTTGATTATTTATGGTCATGTTACATGTATTAATTGCTTTTTAATATCATTTCTTTTTATAACCATTGAATTGTAAATGTATTTTAAAAGTTAGTAACTTTTGTATTTTTTATCAGTTTTACATATATAATGTATCAAATTAATCGTCTTTTGATGAACTTCGACGTAACATTCATATTGTATGTAAAAAAAAAAAATTATATTTATCTCTATAACAATAATAAAATTATATTTAGCATTAATTAGAAAAATAAAATTATTTATCAACTAATATATTTATATTTCAAGTAGTTATATGATATAAGTTATAAAAATTACTATAATATAACACATGTAAATCACACAAGTAACAAGCGTCATTCTAAAGTATATAATAATATATATATTTTGTAAAAAAATAAATAAAATTTAAAATAATTTTTCTCATTATTTTTAAAATTTAAAAATATTTTTTTTAACAAGTACCTGTGTAATACACGGGTGTTGTACTAGTTAAATATTAATACACGAGCTATAAAGCTCAGAAGATGATTAAGCTCGATTATTTGAAAGTAATAAGTTTGCTACCAAAGGAGTTGTAAGCGAGCTATTTAAGCTTTATTGTTATTTAATATGTGTAAGGTTCAAACTAGCTATTATAATATGACGAAGGTCAACACAAAATGAAACTGCATTGAAGTCGATAGGAAGTACAAGAAAGCTCCACCACTCCTCCTCCTCCGCTCCTACATCAAAACAAATCTATGAAAATCCTGCTGCATTTAATTATAACTTGTAAAACTCATGCATCTGCTTTGTTTTGGCGAGACAAGAGTGCCGTGACAAAATCATCCAATGCCTTAACCGACGACCCACTCTCCTCCTCCTCATCGTCCACGGCAAGAGCCCTCGTTATAATGTCCCTAATCTCCCCAGCTCTCCTCCTCAAACCCTCCCCTTCCCCCATCACCCTCTCTATCACACTCCTCACCTCCTCCCTCTCCACCCTACTCCCCACCCCCCTCGCCATCTCCACGCAAACCCCCATCTCCTCCACCAGCATCTTCGCGTTGTAACCCTGCTCCGCCGCCAGCGGCCACCCGATCAGCGGCACCCCCTGGCTCAGGCTCTCCATCACCGAGTTCCACCCGCAGTGGCTCACGAACGCCCCCGTCGACACGTGGCACAGTATCTCCGGCTGCGGGGCCCACCCCCTCACCACCAGCCCCTGCCTCTTCCCCTCGAACCCCTCAGGAAGCCACTCCGGTAGAAATTCTCCTCGCACATCGAACTCCACCGGAGGCCTCACCACCCACACGAACGGCCGCCCGCTGTCCTCCAGCCCCTCCGCCAGCGCCATCATCTGCTGCCGCCCGATGCTGTTCTGCGAGCCGAAGGACACGTAGAGGACGGATCTCGGCTGGTGGGAGTCGAGCCACCGGAGGCAGATCTCCGTCGAAACTCCGGGCTCACGACCCGTGTGCCGCACGCTGCCGGATGACGTCATTACTCGGGGAATGAGAGGGCCGATGCTCCAGACAGGGCGGTTGGTGTATCTTCTGAGGATGTTTAGCCCCAAAGGTTCTATCTCCTCGGCCGTGTTGCAGAGCCAGCCGAAGGAGTCGAGGGAGGATCTGATTTGAGGTTGGAAGAATCTGGACCATGGATCTGTGCCGTCGGCGGCTCTCAGGAAGCGGTGGAGATGAGTGACGTGGAAATTGATGGAATCTGGGAAGCCGGGGAGATTGAAGTAGGGGTCGATTTCGGTGTCCTTGTGTTTGTGGGGAAGGTGCTGCCACAGGGAGATGTAGGCGGCCGTGCCGTAGGCGCCGCCGGTGGTGAAGGTGACGTTGACGGTGTTGCAGGAGGCGGCGACGGCGTTTGCCCAGCCGGTGAAAACGTCGGAGATTATGCAGAGCGGGGGTTTGCCGTCGGAGGAGGAGATTTGTTGGATGAGGGCTCGGAAGGGGGTTTCGAGGCAGGTGGAGGAGTGGAAGAGGTTGACGATGAGGTGGAGGGGGAGGGATTCGGTGTTCTCGGTGTTTGGAGGGAGGCCGTGGCGGGGGGCGTCGAACTCCAGCTCGGAGATATGGATGTGATTGGGGCCCGTGGCCGTGTGGGTGGCCATGGCGGCGCGGAGGTAGCGGGCGTTGAGTGGGGTAGTGGCGATGGTGACGGTGAAGCCGAAAGTGGTGTGTATTCGGTTGGCCAGTGCGAGGAAAGGGATGAGATGGCCTTGCGCCATGAATGGTAGCATCACTATGTGGTGCTCTCTTGAG